GGCGGAGTCACGTAGGGCAGTCAGCAGGAGCAGCAGCAGCAGCAGGCGCCAGTGCGCGTACGCGGGTGATCTCTACGGTTCGGACAAAGTACGATGGAGCGCGGCGTAATGACGGTAACCGCAACAGTAGTAGTGTTAGGAGGAGGGGCGGAGCGTCTCGTACTAGTAGTAGTAGCGTCGTGATCGATAGCGCTATGTGGGCAGGCTCGATGGCTGGCTCGCAATAGCATAAGGCTATTCGAATTGATGTCTGGTGGTTTTTCACTGGTTTGTACAGAGATCGCCCAGTTTTTTGGCTTTTAACTGGATCGTTATTACCAATTATCACGTCGTATTACTCTTCAAAATCACCAATGATCATTATTTGATTAGATTTGATCCATCTCGTTCTTGACGGATCTTCTTCGTCATCCCATATTCTTTTGCAAACTCTTGAATTACTTATGCCACCAATGAGTACTTGGCGTACTTTCTGGGATGCGCCATGCACTCGTCTCTTGTCCACAATCGTGAAGGCGGTTGGAAGCCTTGAGACTTACTCAAATGTACTCAGAATGCAAACGATCTCTTCGAGAGCAATATTTCTGTCTTTTTTTGAAGTCATCAATATAAAAAGGATCCAAAGGTGAACCTCATGTCACCATTTTTCTTTCTGTATCCGAATAATCGATTTTAGAACAGGATCGTCATGTATTACGTTCAATGTGACCGATCTTATCCGTCCTATTCCATCCCTAAACGCAGATTTCATTAAAGATCGTTCGTGGCTCTCAAGTTTTACGGGTGTTCATTTAAATCTTCAATAATTGTTTACTTATTTATCTGTTTATTTTACACTCGCCTGAATGCACCACTGATGCAATAATAAGGGACAGTAATGGGCAGTAATTATGATAGAGGCTGGATCATTTCATTAGGGCTAATAAGGCTCCCTATCCATCTTTGAGTAGCTACACGAACTCAACTCAGGAGGGAATTGAGCCATTTACCTGGGCATAATCTCTTGGAGGTATGTTCTGGTGGGAATTCCATCCAATCACTTCTGCCAGGCTTACCGTAAACGAGTTCATGGCGTAGCCGGTGTTCATTATTATTCGAATCAAATACGACAGTGTGAATAGGTATGTGTATGTGTGTGTGTACGTGAACGCTTAGCGATCATCAAATCGCACCGATGAGCGGGGGGTTTTTTGGTGTCGGCGCACGCGCATACGTACCGACACCAAAGACGACACTTCCACCACCCCACCACCACCATCTTGGTCGTCCTCCTGCACGTCGTCATCGTTGTCATCAGCATCGTCGTGATCGTCGTGATCTTCGCGGCGAAGATGACGACGAAGGCAATGGCTGTGTATAGAACGGCAGGCAATGACGACGACGACGACTACGACGACGACGACGACGATGAGCGCCGACGACCAGTTTGCGAAACCAGTCGGCTTCATTCTTGATGGCCTCTGCGCACCCCCCGCGCCACGCATCCCCCCAACCAAACCCATCATCGCAGCGTTGCACGTTCTCACCAACGTTCTCCATGTCACTACATTCCCTACTATACAATATTTATTTACTCGAAGTAGATTTACATCATAAACAACTGCAATTTACGTCACTACCGTACTTCCCCAGGTGATTATGGGAAGAGAAGAGCAGCAGCAGTGGGCAGGATTTGAGCTCGTTACCATTCTTCATCACGATCTATCAAGCCCACACTATTCCAGGAGTTCCATCTATGTAATCAGCTCGTCTGGGATCCTCCCAGAACCTTCAAAAACTTACTTTCAACCTAAGGGTTTGAAAGAAGGTATGTAGTAGGCGGTGATGCCTAGTACTCGCTGCATTCCATGGGTCAGGATCCCCTATAACCGATTCTTTCTTCGGAGACCAGTGGGAGATACCACCTCTGGCTTTTTTCCAGCTCTAACTGTTTCTGAATGGAATTCCTCTTCCCACATTTGTTAGGTTACTATTCCCGAGTTCCGAAAACTGAGCGGTAACTTGTAACATCGCTGAACACCGGTAGACGGTAGTTGGGGTTGCCTGTCAGTTCTTGTGGGATATCCCAAAGATAGGCCTGTCAGTTCATGTGGGATACCCCAAAGGTAGGCCTGTCAGTTCTTGTGGGATACCCCAAATCAGCTCCTTTTGAGTTTTATTCTCTCTCAGAAAAGTTTTTAGCCACTACAGCTGCTAATCACTCACATCCCATTAGGCGATTACATAAACGAGTTCGATAGCGTGGCGTATTCCATTTATTTCACATCAGCGCCAATCAGTTTATCCCTTTTGGCAGTTTTTCGTCATTTAGCAGCTTGTGCTTCCTTGGCGTTACGAAATCACCGGTACAGGAAGGGTTTCTGGGATCTTCCAAGATTTTGGGTAGGAAGTAATCACCTTGTACCACTGCCAGGCGCCATGGGAAGGGTAAGGCGCCTGTGAGGTTATTCTGGGTGCATATCATCGCAGTATGAATCACAATGTTGGAAAAACTCCTGTAGCCGGGTGTAGCTTTATCAGAGTTTGGTATGGCAGGTGTTCAGCCCGTATCTGCCTTTCTAGGTGGCAAGCCTAGCTGTTCGCTGAATTTCAGCCCCTTTGGACTTTGTGTTTTCGCCAAGCCTCCATTCCTCGCGACTGATCCCGAGGCATTCCCGTTCATTCACGCCTAGCCGTTGAGGGCAAACCAAGTTCAGCACGGCCGTCAGTCTTTGACGTTCTCTGCTGCTGCACTGACCAAGTCCCAGCCCATCTCGTCCCTACTCTCGTCAACAACACGAGCATGTGGGGATTTTTGGTCTGTTGATGTCTGGAGGCTGCCAGGCTGTGTTGTTCGGTGTCGAGAGATGGAGGTCAAGGTTCTATGGATTGTTTGGGAGTGGCTTACATCATTGTCGAATTCGTTGCCGTTATCTCTAGCTTAATCGGACATTCTAGAACGTTCAATTAAGGGCTTCTATCCGGTTTAAGTCTAAGCAGAAGAATCTTACGCTCGAATTGCTTCTGTCCTTTCGTCTGCACCTGAACGCCTTTCCATCTTGGTGGTCATTGAACCCTAATTTTCTTTGTTTTCTCTATCTTCTTTAGGGAATTGCCTACTTTCTTTAGTGCATCTTTCCTTTTTGGGTCCAGAATTGCTCAAAAACGAACCTACCAGTTAATCGAGCTCCTTCAATCGGGAAACTTGCCCAGAAAGTCTTCATCGCGTACTCTATGGGTTCAGAAATCCCAAATTAGCCCGTGTAGTCGCTGAGACTTGTCATTTCCGCATGGCTTGCTATTCTTGTCTATCTGCCAACGGCCCGATATCCCTTTCCGTTGAGCAGGCTCCCGATTACTTCAGGATATGTACTTCCTAGTCTAAATCGGAGATTTTCCAGAAATCCTATGCAATGTCAAATGTCTTCATGAATTTGATCTTAAACTTCCTTATTTTCCATTCAATTTCATCTTTTTGTTGTGATTACCTTTAGCCTTTCGTCAAATGTTCATTTGATGGGTCTCCATCAGTCAGTCTCGACTTTTCCTCTCCTCTCTATATGGTAGATCATGACCTCTTTCCGCTTCGCGACCGCTCGCGTCATATAGGGAACTTCTCGAGGATTTCAGTTTAAAACCTTTCAGAAATCTATCTATCTAGCCTTAGAAATCTATCTAACCTAAACGTCTTTGATGCGATTTCTGCCTCTGTTGTCCCCTTCTCCTGCGAAAGGTACGAGTTCCTACCTGGTTCACTCGGGCTCAGAAGACGAGACCAGTGTTGGCGTGAGAACGTCATGGTGTCCTTCAAGAGAACATCAATGGTTTTTACTTGAGTTTAAACGTGCCATGTAATCAAACGCGTGCAAAAGTCGAGAATTTCATGGTGATATGTCCTGGCCTTGAAAGAGGCATTGATTGTTGACAGATATGGCATACCTGCAGCGCTAGGGAGAACCCATGACGTGTTCTGTAACCCATAGATCACTGGGGAGCCCGAAAACCTGGGAAAATTCTAGCTTTCCTATGGTAGGCAGCGGATAGGGCGTTGTCTGGCGCAAAGTTCAAGTCTCAAGCTCCTTGAACTCAAGAGAAGCTGAATAAGCCGGCAGCGAAAGCATAAAGTTCAAAATGAGTACCGTCGGCCGCAATTTGAGCTTAAGTTCGTCCGCTGGATAGGCTTTAGCCGTCCCGTCGTTGCCTATCGCCCTTATATGTGCCCTTAGTCTCCACGTTGCCATTTCATCATCTCGCCACAGATGAAGGGCAGTATTGGGTCTCCACCATCCAATTGCGCTGACGTCTTTCCCTGCGCCATCATCGTCATCGAATACGCCACATATATGTACGTCAGAAGCTTAGCTCAGCACAGCAACATTTAAGGATCTTCAGAGATTTTTCTAGGGTATATTTACCCAGGGAATGACACAGCATAGGTGAATGTTCGGGGTGTTTTTTGACGTCAACGCCCCGCCCCCGAAACCTAAATATGGCCCCGCAACTCTTCAGTGGACACGCGTCGTCGCTAAATTCGTGCCTTCTACGAGGCTATTCTTGTCCCGGGGACACGGCGTGACTTGAACAATCGGGCCTGAAATAGAAACGCGAGGCGTGAGCAAATAGACAGCGCTGAGGGCGCTCGCTGACCGACCCGATTCACTGCGACCAACTAGGCGTTTCGATCTCCCTCCACTCCTCGAACGCCAGCAGACCGCCTCCTACCACTTTCAGAACGAAGTGGGCCCCGGTTGGAGCTATTGTGGTTCATATTTTTCCTATTTTTAGCTACATTTTTTGTTGGCTCTCTGCCCAAGGGCCTTTCACCCTCCTTTCGCTGGTTCAGCGGGTGTGGGGCGAAGGTTCAGTCTCCTGACTTCTAACTGCTGTCGTTCCGTTATCTTCTCTGGCGCCTCTGATACTGCTGATAAGCTGTGTGAGCTCCTAGCGCTCCCCTTTACTCCTCCAACACCTCCTGTGACTCCTTCTACTCTTCTCCCACCTCTGCCTCTGTGACGACTCTCTTTACCCACATGGGCTATTTTGTTATTGTTGTTGTTGTTGATTAACGAATCGAACACAACTCATTTCCCCCTTCGGCAATCACCACTGATTCGCCTTCTTAAGCCTATATAGATCTACACTAGCTACAGGCCCTTCTTTCTGTTTCCTTGATGGATTACCATCGGTTCTGGATACCCCTTCCACTGGGAGCCCTCTTTGATTCCATCCTTTCCCTATTTTACAAACGCCATAACGAATATTTTCAGTCCCTTGTGAGCTAGTAGACGTAATGGACGAGTTTTCATGGAATTACCTATGCCATTGAAGTTTTTTTTGTTCCTGCATGTTCACTTGAACTTGTCATGCCCTTGGATTTTTTTTGATATACTACTACCTACTACTATTCACTTGGAAAAAGAACAACTCATGTACTTCCCAACGACCGCCGCAACCGCGAGGAGAGCAATTTTAGATTCAGAATTCGGAAAGCGCAATGAGCATGAGTACAAATGAAGAACGAGCCCCAGGCAATGGCTGTCTGGGTGATGCACTCTATTACTTTTTTGAATGTTCTATGATTTATACTACGTACGCCGATTATCTATCATCCAGTAGAATTTTCGAGCACTACAAGAAAATTGATGAAATCGACGTTTGTTCGTCTCTTCTTGGGATACGCCGTGCATTCGGATTCTCACGAGAGTCGTAGTGGCACTTCAGGCATGTGAAGCGAATTGTGGAGATCACCTGGCCTCGAAGCCAGTGCTTTTAACTTCCCAGTTCAGTTCGGGGCGTTTAAAGTGATCCGGTAAAGTGGAAGTCTCGATTGATCTGACTGTGCCAGATCCGGGATTCGATCCAGACATAAAGCGTAAAGTAACGGCGCCTCTAGCCACTGCCACAGTTGAAGTAGAAATAATCACTTCACTAAATTGACTATAATTTTGAGTTTTGAGACGATTTTTGAGACCTTTCAACTCTCTCATCACCTTAACTATCCTCTTTAACGAGTTTTATTTAGCAGTGTTCAAAATTTCAATACTGTTGAACCAATGGTGCCAGTCAGTACATTGCGCCATGCGTTTGAGTTTCATCCTGAACAGTTTAAGCTTTCGAAGCCACCTCTCCCCTTCCTGATTCATCACAAAGGTGACGGAGTAGGACCCCCTTCGTTTCCTCGCGTCTTCGGAAATTCACTTCCCAATTCCTAGTCCAACTGTTTCCCCTGAATGTCCGCCTTCCTAGCTTTTTATCTTTTGGTTTCTATTTCCTTCCTTTCTTATCTTTTTTATTTTGAACATTCTCTCTTATCCGCTCTTCTTTATAGTTTTGGCATCATCAAATTTCCATCTTAAATTCCTTCCAGCATTGTCCATGGCTTCTTACTGCACTTTCTCACTCATTCGTTATGTTTTCCCCTCTATTTTACAACAAAAACCCCTTTATGAGATCAATACAACTCGCTTTACTCATTTAAAGCTCGAAAATAATTTGGCAACTGCAGCAGATTCCCTTGAGTCATTCGTTGGGTATGTCCTGGATGCTCTTGTGGTCTATGCGAGGTAATCTGGATCGTGGTCAAGCCCCGAGTGATTAACGAGTTCGCAAAGATTACACGACATCTGATTCCCCGGAGTGTCCGAGGCGGGCGTAGAATAACCACCACCCGAACAGGACCAGATTGTGACTAATTTTCAAGTCCATTTTTGGGTCAAGGCTAGTGACTGGGGCTGGCTTTTAGAGGTGGGGAACGAGTTCCATTTCTCGTATAATCTCGATTTGCAGAGTGTTTAACGGCGGCACTAGCTAAGGGGTAACGGGTGGGTAAGAAGCGTGAGATGAGAAAAGCATCGGCTTGCTGGGTGGCTGGGTAGTTGGCTGGCTGGCTGCTGGCCTGGCTGTCTGGCTGTCTTCCTGCCTATTATTGACCTACACTACCGCGATGATGCTGCTACACTGCTGCTGCAGCTCGTGCTCTTTTTTGTTTACTATTTACCATACTTGGTTGTTGTGCGTGCGTGTGCATGCTGCGTGTGTTAGCTGAGAAATTCCACTAGACGCTTGTTATTTCGTCGTCGTATAGCTCGAGGTATATACACTGATATCCATGTGTGTCCATCTGGATGTCTATCGGCTTGTAAGCATATACGCCCCCTGGTTCATAGCCCCATGTGAGGTCAGCATTATCTCATGCATCCGTCACCAGCCGCTTACATTTGCATATGCTCATCGTCGTTCTGAGAAGAGAGAGAGGGGGAATAGCTTGGGATGGCTGAGCTGGCCTAGGCCGTCCGGCTGGCTGGCGCTCAGACCGGTTCTGGGGTGACGACGGCTGAGTCCCTCTCCTCTGTCAATCTGTCTCTGTATCTATGGGTTTGGTGTTCGTGTATGTGTGTATATGTCTATACATGTATGTCTGTGTGTATGTGGGTGTGTGTGTATGTTTGTATCTGTGTATCATCCTCCATTGACACACTACCTCCTCATTACGGCCAACTCTACTCCCGTCGTCACATCTACGGCCATCTGGCCTCTCCGCATTTCCGTATGTGGTGGGGCTTGACCAATCAATGCTCTAACGGCACCACCGGGCCACGAGACTCCCCTCCACCAGCTGATTCGCCCCTCGCCAATCCATCGCGCTGACCACTACCCCAGCCAGCCATTCAATCGGGCCCATGTGACCACGACTACGTCACCAATTTATTGGTCCCAACCTTGGACAAGCTTCCTTTCTCTTTCCCTTTTATAACTATGGCTTCCATACGATGTTCTACCAAAACACATCGATTTTATTTGTTTGTAAATAGCAGTGAAGTGTTGTTTATCAGTCTTGTTTACCTTTTCCGTGTCCTTGACAACCTATAACTTGCATAACCCCCCTAACCCAAAATAACCCGAGTAAACTGCCAATGAGAGTGAATAGCTTAGAAATCACCCTTTCTGCGCTATTTCGATTTATACAACCCTTGAAACGGGAAAATTTTTGAAATTTTCCAAATTTTTTATTTGAGCGATTGTTCTGATTTTCTGGAAGAATGAGTGTAATCAATCGATAAATCGATCAAATCACTGGATTCAACTTTCTCTATTATGGCTTATGTAAATTTCGAGTCTATTCCACTGTTATTACTTTTATTGTTATGTTATTTTATTTGTTATCGCCTGAATAACCAGTTTTTATTTTAAAAGTAATTATTGCTTTATCATACAAGAGATCAATCGATAACCTGATTGATAAGCCAATAAAACCAGGAAATCAAATCAATACCACCCTGCATCCATGGCTCGGACTCTTTCCTGCTCTCATTACTTCCTCTTTCCATTTCGCTTGACATTTCCTTTTGATCTTCATCTTCGTTTCCAGCTCTATTCTCATCGAAATCAATTATCGATTACTTTTCATAATCGTATTTATTCCCGTACCGATCAATATGCATATTTTCTATTATCCTAATGAATTTAGGCTCAAGTTCGTCGTCCGGCTGTAGTTCGTCAGCTACTTGTGAGCTGTACGATCTGGCAACGGCGCACGCACTTCTTGCCCGGCAACAGCAGCTGATCCAACAAGGTAAACATACGCTATCAATTTTCAATCGATAATGATCGATTATTGATTACCTTTTTCCAGCAAATTTTCCACTAATTTCATCGGCGGAGCTCGTTCAACAGCTGGCTCATCATCAGCAACTACAACAGTTGCAACATCACATACAAGGAATTGTGCACCATAATTTAGTTGGTAAGTTCTGACGTCATACAATCAATCAATAGACATTAATCAATTATTGATTTTACCAGCAGGTATACGGTATCGGTACCTCTGTATGTTTTTGTGACAATGGCCCTGAGTTAATATATGTTTAACATTTTTCACAGCGAATTTTAATCGTTTTGTTCGATACCGCCTGTTGATCGGATTTTATCGGGAAAAATCATTTTTCAAAGAGGACACCAGTCCGTTCAACAGTATTTCATGCTGTCTGTTTGTTATTATGAACGCCCATTGGATTGGTCTATTGTCATTGACAGTTGCAAATCAATTTTTCTTGATGATAGTTCTAGAGGTCAATTGGTCCGCTTTTACTGATTGGCTTTCTTAAAACATTTTGAACTTCATATATTTATTTTAAAAAGTCTACAGTTACCTATTGCCTTCATTTCTTATTCAGAGGTCTTCTATCCATTTTACTTTCTGAACTGGGGACCTCTGAACGAGTCGATTTTGAAGCCCGTAGTTGGTCTTGTACCAAAAAAAGTCTTTTTTCGATTTTGTCAATTTTTTGCAAATCTAAAATGACTGGATGACTCAAAAGTCCTTTGACTTTCCTTCTTAAGGAGAATTCACATAAGAACTCTCCATTCTCCGTTTTCGAGAGGAAAAAGTAAGCTGAGGGAATCGATGAGTTTCTGAGGTTGGGAAGGGGTTTTGTGATGGTCGCCCTACCGAAGGATCCAATTGTTTTGTTCAATTTGTTAAAAATGGACCTTCTCAAATTGTCCCCCGATGGGTGATACTTTGTTTACTTGTTTACTTTTTCATATTACTATATTGAAACTTTACTAGGTATTTTGCTAAGACAGTTTTCCTTCTTTACTGCCTTTTGTTTCCTACTGTAAAGCGGCAAAAGGAAAAGTCCGTCCTGGTAATAAGTAGCTTTGATTTTCGAGAAAATTCTCTGATTTTCGTATGGATTCTCTGTTGCGGTTCCTTGGATGATAGCGCTCAGGTAGCCCAGATCGATTCGTACAGGTCCATAGGTAATTATTGATCATTCTTCGCTGATGAACTGACCTTTGACGGTAATTATCGATTATTACTGGGCAGTGAGATGTTGCTATACCAACTCTGGGCCCAACGAGTATCTTCTATTGCGTTTCTGTCTTTTTCATTTACTTCTATCCATATTTACTGGCTAATGGAATGTTGCGTCCAATCGATATCGATCAATAGCGGAAGTTCAACACCTTTGCAGCGTTTTACGTTTGTCACAAGTTTTAGTTCAAAAATATTTCGCTCAGGTTGCGAATAATCTCGGTCAGCTTTTTGCACTTTCACTTATTCGCAGCTATTAGTGTAACCTAAGTACTTCTTTCTTACCTCAACTTCGCCCAAATTACCGTTTGCCCGATTTCCACCGATCCTCTATAATCTTCCCGAATAACCTCTTCTATAACCATTGGGAGATTTTTTTGCATTTTTTCTGGTCAATATATGTATATGAGTTTATGGGAGGCGGGCATAGTGGCATAGTTATAAAAATAATTAAAATGGTAGTCATGGCATTAACGCAATAGTGCCTATCAAATTCCCAGAACCTCAAGCGATCGCCAGCGATTGAAAAGTTAGCTCTATATGAACGTCGAAAAAATTTTTATTTTTAGATTTGTTAGAATTAAATTTTTAGAAATTAGCCGTTCGGTCAGAGTTCGCTACCGATTTTTTCGGTATTTTTAAATATCCTTGATTCTTGCTAGGGTCGGTGAATATTTTCATATCACTGGGACTACGGTAGATTCAAATGATTATGGATTTTCAATTGAAAATCCATTTTGTTGATCATTTAGTTTGTTTGTTTACCTATTGTCTTTCCACTTGAGATCCCTCTTGAGATGAATTTTCTCCATTTTTGTTCTAAAGCAAATTTTCTTTCTAGTTAGATGCTCCCATCCAAAAAAATCAATTTTAACAATACATTGGGATGGTTTGATATTTTACTATTTTTCTGTATACTATATTATTTTATTCTACTTATATTTTTTGTATTTTCATTTATTTCAAGATAGACTAGGGGTTGTTATGCTTGTGGCATAATAAGATTCTGAAACTCGTTGAAAATGCACCAAGGCGGGCGAAGACGACACTGTAGTCTTTCGATCGATGAAAATCCATTAATCGATTTTTTGGCTCCATTTTTGGTACGGTAACATGACTGGAATTTCTATAATTTATGCACGAATTTCAAATAGTTCATCCATAAATTTGCTTAGAGTTATAGACACAAAATATATACGCTTTCGACCTTCCTGTTGGATCAATCTCTTCAAAAACTGATTTTAACTGCTCTTCAAGATTTTAAATGCTTTTTAAATTCTGTAAATAATATTTTAAAAATATTTTCAATAATTTTCAGGCGACATGGCACTCGTGTCGCATCCGGCGACAGCGACCGCAGTTGGTGCGGCGCAAATGTATGCCGGTAATGTTGTAAAACAAGAAAAGAAATCTCAAGTACCAACTGCACATCAGGTTCTGCAAATGCAACAACAACAATTACCCCAGGTATTGATTGATTTTATCGATTTACTAGTCGTTATTCTGGATTCTAGAGTGTTTAACCACTTGGTTCGAACAAAGACTGGTATAAATTGGCAGCGAAACGGGAAATTTTCTGAATAATCGCGGGTTGCTGTTAGGGGGAAGGGCAGGGCTAGCTGCACACCCCGTCTGTTTTGGCAACTACTCAGTGGTTGACTGGTAACACTGATAAGGTTTATCAGTAGTTATCACTCGGGTTGCTGGCGTTCGCTCAAGTCGCAAAATTTGCTACTTTTGGATGAATTTGTTCAAGAATTTCAGGGATTCCTTTGATATTTTTTCTCAATTTTTTCGATTTTTTTTTCAAAATTTTGTAAAAATAAATATTTTTTTGGGAATTCAACAGGTGATCATCGTCCGATCAGGCGATATAACACGAGCATATCACGCGTCCTCGTTGGTCTGTGCACTCTTGGCAGCGGCACTTCGCGTAAATTCCGCGTGATCGTGGCGGCGGCCGCCGCCCTTGTGGTGTTGTGATGGAGCTGGCGCACGCTTTGCCCTCTGTGTATGTGTCTGGGTGTGTACTTTACGTGGTGTCCTCATACTCGTGCCCAATCGGCTCCATCCATCGCCAATCAGCTTGTCCTCCACGTTTACCTAAGTTTTATTTATCGATTTTTCGCGGGACCTGTTCCTTTAGAGCATGTACCTACGTCTCTGAGGCTCCCTATCAGGATCGGAGCTCAAAAACCCCCTTGTCGAAACGCCTAGGCCTCCGTGTAGCCCTATTTTCTTTTTTCGACAGCTTTTAATCGGATTCAGTGAAATTCCTTCCAATGCTCCCAATCGGAATGTCACCTGTCGTCCCGTTGTCAGTCGATTCCTTCTGTAATCTGTGGGAATATGAAAAAGTGGGCTGCACTCAGTCTTGGGAGCTGGGGCTCTTTTTCGGCTTAGGGAACGAATGACTGGCTTCTATCTGGGCAAATTCGGTCAGTAACTACTCCGATGCAAGATTGGCTTAGGAAACCTCGGCTTCCACCCAATCGATTTGGTCTTTGATACCTCGGTAGAGGCTTCAGACTCCCTATCTCTATCCACTTCCCGTTCCAGGAGGTGCTAGTCAATATATTCAGTCGAACCATAAAACATCCCCAACCAGACCGTCGCTCCGTTGTTATGGGAAGAAACTTCCGGGAAGGTAGCCCAGTTTAGCTCTAGCCGATCCTGGCTAAAGTCACGTTTTTAGGCTCCGGAATGGTTGAAGTCCAAAAGTCATGAATTTTTTTGGACAGCCAGGATTCAGGACAATGAGGCGCTCCCAGACCAGAAAATCTTGCTCTCCCCCATGAAAAAATGGCGCTCTTTTCGACCGAAATCGTCCATAAATCGTCATCAGTCCTCAAACTGGTTTTTCTTTCTCAAAAATCTAATCTGCTATGGAAATCCAGTTTGGGAAAGGGAGAACTCTGGGGTTACTTTTGAATGGAAAATTTTTTCTTCCCAGTTTATCTTTCAAACGTTCTGAAGGAATTCCCAGATGGTTCCATCCCCAGAGATTATTTGTGGTCGAGTTTTCTCGGTTTTTCGAGGAAGTGCATCACTCGTT